CAGATATACTAGGGGTTGGCAGATAATTGAAGGGGACAGCAGTTTTAAAGGTAAGCAGAGGAGCTGTCTCTTCCATTTTGGATCATTAACGTTAACCTGACAGGCTGACACCTCTCTGTCTCTCCTTTCACTCTCTCTTAGCACTTTTCTGATAGTGATTTATGTTTATCATAGTCTTTAATTCAATGACACATTATCATTGATTCACGTGTGTCTCTTAAATTTTTTAAACTTGTTTTGTTTTTATTTTTATTTTTATTTTTTTAATTCCCACATTCTAGTTCCAATCCCTTGAAGTTTTTAACTCCTAGGTTTTGAATACTTGGTGAATTTTGGTACATGTTACAAATTTCTCAGTTCATTCTTCTCATCTTTTGCCGCTCTCATCATTTGCTTTGAACTCTGGTAATTTAGAATGGCTTGCAGTTGCCTGAGAACAGCATGTTTCCTCTCATTTTGGAAACATAGCATAAAATCTATACTCCATATAGAAAAAAATCTTTTAGTATACAATGAGAATCAAATTCATGAATATTGTCCCTTTTGATAGCCAAAGCATCTATAGAAGAATGGACAATTTAGAAAGGAATTAGTTTCTTGTTTATAGTATCTTTGGATTCTTGAAAGTATGGGTGGGAATATGATAGACTAGAATTTGATCACTGCTAATATCAAATGATGTCACCTTTGTATAGATACCTCATTTGTAATATCATAGGGTAAATATGGCTATAAATTTATGTTTATAATATATGATATCTTCAGGAAAAATTCCTACAAAGTAGAATTTTGTGTCAAAGGATACCACATTGTTTATATTTTCAAATATGAGTTTGTGACTATTTTTGTTGTAATTTTTGAGAAATTTACATCAAAATGATTATTAATTTTTATAATTAATAGGTAAATAGCATAAATTTTCCTATGGTCAATATTTCTATGGCATGAAAATCATTTCTTTCATAGAAATTTGAATTCTTCCTCGATGCAAATAAATAAACCAAACATCATTTAGAGCTATTTTTCTACCAAATATTTTTTGTTCAGCTATTTTTATTTAATTCAATTTTGGCAATTTATATTTTGACATAAAGTCTTTGGCATAATTACACAGAAGAATGTATAATATTATCAGCCTCTAATATTTTTCATATTCCTGGTTGCATTTTTATGTTTGTATATCTGTATTCTCTTTCTTGATTTTTTAATTATGATTCCAGAAGACTATCTCATGATCTTTATAAAAATGACATGGCCTGATTAATTGTAGCACTTTTAATATGAATTGTAGTAAATATAATTTCATACTAAATATTTATTCAAACTATAGTATTAGATACTGTACATGTGCTGGAAAATAAAATCTTTATTTTTTGGAAAAAATCACTCTATTTAAAATTTAGAGCTCTTGTAATGTCATCAGTAATGTATTACATTGATATAGCTTATTTTATTAAATTTGAAATATGAATTAAGAAAGAGTAAACTAAAATAAAAGGTATAGAATTTTTTAATTGTCAAAATCTAATTATAGAAGGTATTGGACTCTGATATTTATGCAAACCAATTCTTATAAAATATATCTTTGCCCTTATCAATTTTTAAAATAGTCTGATTCACTATTTTAAATTAAAAAATAAATTAATTAATAAACTAAAAAATAAAAATAAAAAATGTTAGTTTCTATATTTTCTCCCACTTTCTGCTATATTTTCGCAAAAATAAATTATACACTACTTTTTTGATGTCTTAGAAAGTGGTGAGGTGATAATTCTGATTGTATTGTTTATATTGATTACATTATTTTAATCTATTATTTTAAATATTCCTTTCTTTTTTTAATGAATTAATTTATTTTTCTAAATACATTTGTCTCTGCCTTCCCCCCACCAAATATTCTTTTCTTAACTCTCTTGACTCCATTAAAATTTTTGTTAGCCACTAATTCACCTTTTTTAAGGTATTATTTTACCATATTATTGTCTATATTGTACTTTATAAAAATCATATCTGTTTAATTCATAGGGTCAAAATGTTGATGTTATTTAAAACGTTTCTCTTTCTCTAGGTATTTTTCCCCACATAAATGTCTCAATTTTATTGTTGTAAGTGAAAATTATAGTTTTTCCTCTGTAAGAGAACTTCTTAAAAGATCCATGTTGTTCTAGAATTTGCTTTTTTCCCCCTTTGTTTTTGTTTTCTCTGGTTTAAATTCTTTAGAGGCAAAAATTCTACTTAAGCCTTCTTTTTCCCTGACTGCAGGTTGAGTTGATAGGATGTCATTTTTCTTGTGGATGGATTTCAGGAGCTTATTTTGGATTTCAAGACATGAACAGGACTGGATGTCTGGAGGGTTGATAGCCTATGACTCCACAGGAAGATTTTTTAACTATGGTTTCCTTTGCCTTAGGGTTAAACCTTCCTGGGCCAGGTGTCACAGATGGTGTTTTGGGGCTTCCTTCTTAGTATGTAGAGAAAGTGCTAACACTTTGGCCCATTTTTTTATGATCAGAAAGCCATGCTTTGTTTAGAAACAGCTTTCTGAGTTTCTGCTGCCTAATCTCATCCAGCAACCTGTTGATCTGATCTCATTAATGACCAAATATTAGTTGTTCATTTAATTCATAGCTCTGACCCTCCCTCATCTTTAGAAACCGTACTACAGAATAATAGAGAAACAAGTTCCAAACATGTCCTTAGCTAGCCTTGGCCAATTCAATTCATTCCCACTCAAAAGGAAAATTGAGATATGGTAGCCACAGCTCATCAGTGTTTGATATTCTAGTGCTTCCTTCTCCCTGCCACTCTTAGCCCAAGTAAGGAAGGGTAGGAATGCATCTTTCATAAGAAAGTGGTATTTGAATTACTTCTGGATCACTGGTTAAGTAAACATATCTTAAAAGATTTCATCAGTGTAGTAACTAGAGTACAATACATTTAAAATCAGACTGTATTTAATTTTAATAATAGCTCTAAAACTAGTGATATGATCAAAGCAGCTAACTTTTCCGAGCATGTTTCTTCATTTATAACATAGCGGTAATGTTATATCTCACATGGGATTCATAAGAATTGAATGAAAAAATTGTATAAGAGTAATTAATCTAGTGGCTGGCATATAGTAAGTGCTGAAAACAATGAATGGTTATTACTGATATAAGTGAAAGAAAGAGTCAATTCTGTAAGATGAAAGTTCAATGCTGTGCCTTGAACATCAGGAAAGGTAATTTCCAAAATGCTTTACTGATGCTATTTCAGATAAACTATGTTAACATGACCTTTGGTTTCTTCTTTTTATGAAATTATCCTTTGTTCCTATGAGAAATTTAAAGTAGGATATATATGGTATAATTCATTTCATTATTAAGTCAGCTTGTAACAACATAGTCTTAACAAGTATGATTTTTGGTCTGAATTCTCTAGTGTTTACCTCCAAGAGACACACTGTCACTTAATTTAGTACCCTATTTGGTTTAATAAATGTGATTTAAAGTACTGGAATATTTTTCACAAATTAATGAGAGTGAGGGCAAAGGAAGTCACGATAGTGGTATGTGTTCTTTAGCACCTTATTGACTGCAGCTAATGAAGAGGAATCCAATTTGTTTCTTGTCTGTCAGGCTAGGAATGCCTGGGACACTCACCTGGGCCCCACTGCTTGTGGTGAGTCTCCACAGACATTTCTCCAACTGGAGCCAGTGTTGTGGCTGGACTGGCCTTTGTGTTTCTTATTATGATTATGAGACACACAGCAGCAACAATAGGGAACTTGAACATGCAAGGGTTCTTACACACGGATCCTGGAGAATAAACAGCACCTCCAAGGGCCAGGAAGCAAGGTAGAAGGTAGAGAGAGAGTAAGTGAGCACAGACCTGGAGTTCTGTCTTTATTAGAGGTGAGATTGATGTTTTTAGGGTTTTGAAAATGTACTATTTATTAGTGAATTTAAAATATAATTGGAGAATTAGGGAGCAGGAACAAGATAGAAGAATCATTCAAGAGGTCTGTTATCTAGGTTGTCCGGGCCTTTCTAAAAGGGAAACGCCATGGATAGGGGAGGTCTGGCTACTTATCTACTTGTATAGTTAGTAGGTGTCATATAGCTGCCAATATGTGTTTTGGATCAAAATGGATGTCTTTGAAATGGATGCCTCAGCAATCAAAAGCTTAATGTCAGGCACTTATATTACAATAAAAAAACCTCATGGTCAGGCACATACAATACAAGAGTGCTTTATTAAAAAATAAAGCCCTGGCTGGTATGGTTCAGTGGATTGAGTGCTGGCCTGCAAACCAAAGGGGTGCTCTTTCAAATCCCAGTCAGGACACATGACTGGGTTGCAGGCCTGGTCCCTAGTAAGGGTGAACGGGATGCAACCACACATTGATGTTTCTCTCCCTCACTTTCTCCCTCCCTTCCCCTCTCTAAAAATAAATAAATAAAATCTTTTTAAAAAATTTAAAAAAACACAAAAATTATAAAACTGACAAGCAAAACTTCATAATTAGCCTAAACACGACCATACTGTTGTTTGCCACTGTAACACATTACACAATATCTAAAATTCATGTGTGTCATCAACTTTTGAAAGTGTATCATCAGTATGGAAGAGCTCTACTAAAGACTGAAAATCTCATTTGTCATCTTTTTCTTTACATTTCCATATGGTTTATTTTATTCCAGTAGTTTTCTATAACCTATATTTTATTGTTAATATCTAGTTAGACCAAAGTTGATTTACTCTTAAGTTCTAAAAGACAATATTAAGACCATCAATGAAAATGTATTTCGCTCTAATTCCCTTTAAATAGATAAATCTTTTCTTCTTTCTTAAGAACACAAGTATACACAGACAAAATTAATGATTGAATATATCATTTAATAATATATGTTGAATGTAATTTAAGCAAAGCATTATTATTTTTGGCAAACTGTTAATAGACTTTAGTGAAAATATTTAATTTGCAACTTTTCTTATTTATACTGATGTATTTACAGTTGTATGCCAAGATTTACTGGAAAGAACTGTGAGAAAGTAATTGACCACTGTAGACTGCTCAGCATCAACTGTCTGAATGAAGGATGGTGTTTCAATATAATTGGAAGATTCAGAGTAAGTAATTTAATACATGGCAAAGTAATTTAGCATGTCAGAGCACAATAGCTTCAGGCACTCTGCATTTTGAATGCTTATATCATTCTAAGCCAGAGAAATATACCCTTATATGGATATTATAAACATCACATTTGTATATATATATTTTTTTTAGTAGAAGAGATTTTTAACTTACTAGAATTATGTTAGGAGGATATTAACAAATGTCCTAGGCAGTGTTCTATTTTTAAAATATGACCATAGCTAATTGAGTGCTAGTGATATATCTCCCTTTACATAAGACCACTGTTACTATTCCTTAAACTCTTAAACTAGATGGGGAATAAAATTAGTCTGGTAGTTGTTAGAATATAAAAATATGTTTTTTAGCTAATTAGTTTTTTTTAAATAATTTTACAAATACAGTGTGTGTACTACACACAGGCATGTCCTACAATTTAACAATTCCATTTTTAGTTATGTCTACTGGAGAAATTATCATTTATGATTCTGATCTGTACATAAATACCATTCCATTTTACAGAAAAATAAAATGATTACTGAGATTTTGAAATATTTCCTTTAACTTACACATATCAATAGAAATAAATGAACCTAGATTTAAACTTATTCTGTGTGACCCCAGAACACATACTTTCAATTACTATTGTTGAAATCTGTTTGCAATAAAAAGCACATACCACCATATTTTTCTTTAAAACTTATCTATCTTTTCCTTAGTGTGAAATTGTCGAATTGAAATGTCTCTCTTAACTTTGGTTTGAAATTATTTTATATTAGCATTTTAATGTTTCAGTTTTGGTTCCTGTTTTCTTTCAAGATGGTCTCTGAGTATTTATCTCTAATTTTATATTTAAGTTTTTATTCTTCCATTATACTTTTCCCTGGGAGATCTCAACTACTGACTTAAAAATGTATTGACTCTATGTCCAACTGAAATTTCTATTTTAAGGAATTTGACTGGAGTTTTCATCACCTTGCAGAGGTTTTAAAGAATTATACTTTTATACTAACTCCATAGATAAAATATTAGTGAGAAAGGAATGCTATTAGACTTCTCATTTGGTAATAATTTAGGTGATTGGGATGTTAATGTACATTATTAAATGGTTTTAACATTATAATATTTTTCAAAAATATAATTTTCCTATTAGTAATCATAGTTTTAGCTGTATTGAGTTATAAAAAATAGTTTATATTTAAGTTGACACATATTTACAAATATAAAATTCAAATTAGATTATGGTTATGAATGACAGAAATTATTCTTCATCATACTTAAGTGATGTAACATATTAAAGAAAATAAAATGTATGTTGAATTTATTTTTAATTTTTTAATTTACTTATTTTTAGAGAGAGGAAGTAAGGGAGAAAGAGAAAGAGGGAAACATCAATGTGTGGTTGCTTCTCGTTTGCCTGCTGCTCGAGACCTTCCCTGCAACCCAGGCATGGGCCCTAGATGACGAGGAATTGAACCAACTACCGTTTGGCTCTTAGCCTGGCCAGCACACAATCTTTTGAAGTACAGGCCAGGGCTGTATACTGAATTTATTTTTAACATAGAAATATAAAATGAATTTTTCTAGATTATAATATTTTCGGAATTCTATAACTAATATTTGCTTTTCTAATTTGATGTTTGAATTTTTAACATTTGAATATGTCAACTAATTTCAAAGAGACTATTTGATGAACTATAATATTTTAGGAAGAGATATAAACTATTCCTTCTCTTATTTAGAGAAAACAAATATATTTTACATTCAGATAGAAAGAGAACAGAGAGGGCATAAAACAAGCAAATAGTAATATGATATACTTAGATCCAGCTATATCCAAGATCACAGTAAATATAAATTGATTACACATATCAGTTAAAAGACAGGGACTGTTAATGACACTTAAAGCACGACTCAATCAAATGTTGTTTCAAAGAGACTCCTTTTGCCATGACCTGTGCCTCAGCTGGTTGGGCATTATCCTGCAAAGTGAAGGGTTGCCAGTTCAATTCCCATCAGGGCACATGCCTGGGTTGCAAGCTCAGTCCCAAGTAGAGGCACATAGGAGAGGCAGCTGATTGATGTTTCTCTCCCTCTCTTTCTATCTTCCTTTCCTTCTCTCTATAAGTAAATAAAATATATTTTTTAAAAAGACTCATTTTATGCAAAAAGATACAGGTATATTGACAGTGAAGTAATTGGAAAGATATATCACATAACAATTAAATAAAGTAAATACTTGTGTAGCTTTATTAATAAGATGGACTTCATATAAAGGAATAGGAAGAAGGAATAACTTTATTTCATAAACATAAACAGGTCAACTGATTAAATAAAATTATATGTTTAATAGCAGAGCTTCATAATACACATAACACAAACTGACATCCATCACCATAATCATTCAGGGCTTTCTAATTTTTAATTGACATAACATGTCCCTAGTATATTTGCAATAACTTAATGGAAACAGTAAAATATATGAAGTCTGTGACCTATGTGGTGCAGTGACAAATTAATATACAGAAGAATAGAGAAGCAGGGAACCGGAGACAAGAGGGGCTCTGAGTTGAAGTCAAAGCTAACTTAACCCCAAGGTTAATCAGAGGTTGATGGCCACTGGGACCTGGATAACATTTGTATTACACAGATTTGTATAACATAGCTTAAAATGAAGTAAATCAACAATCTGACCATTGTTTCCTTCTCTTAATAAGATTAGACTGGAATTATAATCAGAAAAAATAATTTTAATATATATTTAATTGAATTTCATTTAATATGAAAAATAAAGCATACTCCAGAATGACTTTAAGATTAAAGTCATCTAATAAGTGTAAGAGGCTGGACAACCTTAGGGTTAAAAGAAAAACCCTGAAGGTCAAAACCTTATTAATTCTAAGCCATACTTTTCATTATGAGTTAAATTTCTCTATTTTCAATTCATTTTCTTTATAATGAAAGTGGCATAAGGATACTGAACTTTCTCATTGAAATTGTGATGAGGAATTTCTAATCAACACTTTACAATGTCAATTGCACTCCCAACATTAATAATATAAACGGTACCCATGATAAAACAATTGTCACTTCCCAAATGAGAGTCAGGTTTCTAATAACTACCAGGTGAGAATAAATCATTAAAGAAATTAAGAGCTCATGGCAAAAAAAGGAGAAAAGTTCTTATTGTCATTTTTGTGTTTATAAAAATGAATAAATGACAGCCACTAAAATAAAGAATGCAATTGATAATATGCAAGTAATACATTAAAAAAGCAGACACTATTAATTTAGGAACTATTTACATTGCCTCAGCAGTGGTTCAGGATTTCTTAGAGTTTTAATAATTTACTATTATTTCAACTTTCTTTTTAATAGATAATACACATAGTGATAATTTATGGTTTATGTCTATCCAAATTTTTATAAGTTCCTGATGTTATAACTTAGAACTGGTGACCTGCTGCTTTGTATTATCATCAAAGAAAATGCAATGAGAGCTTTATATGCAGCTCTTTTGGTTCTCATCTGCATCTGTTTCAGAGACGCAGATAAAGAATGAAGTTTATGTTTTATCTCATCTTTTTAAGTCTTTGTAGGGGAACCAGCAGGAAAACAAAAACCTTAAAATCCATCTAATTTAACTTTACCATTTGTTTTCTCTCTCTCTCCTATTTCCATCCTCTAGTTAATTTTTTAACAATTATTTCAACAAGCGTTGACGTATATGCGAACTCACACTAAAAGAAGTAAGCTCAAATTAGTATTCAATATGAGTGAATTTTGCATTTGGGATAGGAGTTAGGGTTTTAGGATTTTTTTGCAACCAGAAAATCTAAACAAAATCTTTCTCTTCCTCTCCCGCGCGGCACACACACACACACACACACACCCCCACACCCACACCCCCGCCCCCCCCCCCCATTAGACCTTCAAGGGGCTAGATAGACCAGGTAACCATTTAACCATGTGTTCAATTATACTCCTTCTAGCTCACACTAAAATAGCAACAGTGGGCTCTTGAACGTTCCTAGAGGAACCCAAGCATACTCCTGCCTCAGAGCCTTTGTCTTGAATATGTTGGCAACTATTGCCATCTTGTTTTCCAGATAATAATATAGGTGGTTCTTCACATATTTTTTTATTGCCTTTGAGACTATAGTAGGTCAAAATTCAAGGCCTATGAAGGTAGATATATTTGTTTCTTTGTACAGTAATAATCTTCCAGAGAAGTCCACAAAATTCTAGCAATGACAACTTATGCCAAATGTAGTGGATGAGAACCTGTTTAGAAGGATACTTCTATGTACAACAAGCACAGACTTCAAAACCTGACCACCGGATGATCTCTCTCTTAGTAATGAGGTAGTCGGAGCTAGCTTGGCATGAAATGTAGGGGGAGGTGTATTTGGTGAAAAATACGAAGAATAATACACAAATTACCCATCAATAATGTGTTTTATATTTAAAAAATTATCAAAGTTAACATCAAAAAGGGAGATTGCATTAGCTAAATAAGTTATGAAAGCAGAAAATATTAGTTTATACACATACACAAAATAAAAAAAACAAAATTTACACTATGATCTGCTACCAAACACTAAATTGAACAGAAAAGCTGAAACTATTTCCTATTGACATAAGAACTATATTCTAAGCTTGCCAAGATACCTTTTAATTGTACTTCAGCCAGATAAACACACTGGTATTGCCATTCTTTATCAGTCCTCAGAAACACTTTCTTCAGGTTTAAGGACTGGATAGGTGTCACCATAGTCTGTGCTCAGTGACACAGACATCTCTGGAAAAGAATAGTTCAAGTCAGGTATTAGAAGATCCCTGAGCAACCAGGTTTGATTGGGCTTCCTGGGGGATACTTAGCAATGTCTAGAGATATTTCTGATTACAAATTAGGGTCAGTTCTGCGAGTGGCATCCAGTGGGTAGGAGGCCCAGTTTGTTGTTAAGCATTCTATGATAATACATGGCAGCCTCCA